CAAATTTGCCTTGGCACTTTCTCAGAAAATTGAAATGGCTCTCATTCAAAAGATCGCTCCTACAAGGCGCTTCATGAATAGTCAAATGTGTTCTAAGTCACTTCTTTTCCGAATATTGATATAGTCTGATGGGCTTCCATGGATAGAGACAGCCTATACGAACGGCCTATTGAGCCTATGAAAGAGCTTAATTTGGCTGAGGTTTACAGACTGCTTCACCCATATTCAAAAACATATACCTATGAAACTAAAAATGAAAAACTGAAGTCCAGAATAGATTTCTTTATAATTACGAAACAATTAATCAGTCAAGTTAAGAGAATAGAAACGCTCCCCTCAATCGCACCCGATCACAAGGCTGTTTTTCTTAGTATTGAGATTGACCAAGCACCTGCACGCGGGCCTGGAAATTGGAAATTTAATAACACGCTTTTAAAAGACAATGAATATATTAGCTTAATTAAAAGTAACTACCCCTCCTTTCAAGAAAAGTACTAGAACGTCGAGAATCACGACAATTGCCTATTCCAAAAAGAAAAAGTCCAATTTGAGAAACCGCGAAACTATCATTCAGCGCAAATTAGAAGAGCCGAGATACTGAAATTTGTAATAATCAAAATCTAGATGACGATATTCTAATGGAGTTCGAAAGCCTTAAAAAAGAACTAACTGAAATCTACTCTATAAGGGAAAATAGGCAATGTTCAGATCAAGAACCAGGTGAATCGAAAATGGCGAGAAACCGACGAAGTACTTCTTCAATTTGGAAAAACAGAATTATGAGAAAAAGATCAAAACCCAGCTTAAAACAACAGATGGTGAAATTATCTCTGATTTGACTAAGATAAACAAGGAAATAGAAAATTATTACAAAAATTTCCTGACCTCTAGAATCTCGCATGCAAGAAAAAAGTAACGACTATGAGGATCACTTTGCTTTATACACGTCGAACCTACAAAATCCAAAACTTTGCCAAGACAAAGTAAGTGAACTTCAACATGACCTGACGAAAGACTAATTGTTAAATGCCTTAAAAGGCTGGAAGCCTTTTAAGGCATTTAACAATTCGACGGTTTTACGAAAGAATTTTTATCAAACTTTCTTCGAACTTTTATGGAGAAATCTCATTGACTCTTTTAATGAAGCCTTTCAAACAGGCAAGCCATCTATATCTCAGAGGCGAGGAATTATATCGCTTATACCAAAGCACGAAAATAATCTTATGGTTTTAAATAACTGGCGGCCGATAACACTGCTTAACGTCGACTATAAAATACTTGCTATACTAGAGCCATTGCAAAAAGAATAGAACCGAAGCTGCCCAAATTGGTTCACTCAGATCAAACGGGTTTCGTAAAAGGACGATATATCGGCTGAAACGTGAGGCTTTTAAATGACCTAATGGAATTCACTGAGTCAAATAAACTCCCTGGTATATTGCTGTTCATAGACTTTGAAAAAGCCTTCGATACGTTGGAATGGCCTTTATCCAACACGCGCTAAAATTCTTCAATTTTGGCCCAAACATTCGGAAATGGATCTCAGTACTTTATAATGATGTTAAGAGTGGAGTTATTAACGTAGGATACATGACTAACTACTTTCGGTTGTCAAGGGGCGTAATGCAAGGATGCCCTCTGAGTCCCTTACTATTCATCCTACGCGTAGAAATTCTGGCACAGAAAATACGTCAAAATCCTAAAATCACATGAAGCTAAACTAAGTCAATTCGCTGATTACACTACATTAATATGCAGGGACACTTCGTCCTTGCATGAAAGTATGTCGGTATTGGGAAAGTTTGGCGATATCTCAGGTTTAAAGCTAAACAGCAAAAAGACAAAGGCTCTGTGGATGGGCTCATCGAAAAACGATAAAACTAAACCCCTTGAAATAAATGTCTCCAATGATCCAACTAAAATTTTAGGAACGTACATTTCACATGACAGCGATAAAAACAATAACCTGAACTTCTTTCTTAAAATCCAAAAGATGGAAACCAAACTAAACATTTGGTTGTCTCGTGACCTTACTCTCATTGGAAGACCCCTACTTGCTAAAACGTTAGGAATCTCAAAATTGGTATATACGGCCTCGATGTTAACTGTTCCAGAAGAAGTTATTAAAAGAGTCCAAACGAAACTTTTTAATCTTTTTATGGAAAAACAAAAAAGACAAAATTAAAAGAGAAGTCCTTTTTCAAGAAATGAGAAAAGGTGGTCTTAATTTTCCAAATTTTGCCATCACAGTTAAAGCGCTCCGTTTAAGCTGGATCGGAAGACTGTTAGAAAAAAATCCTTCTAATGATGCTTGGAAAGCTATACCAAATGCTTTTTTTGAAAAGTATGGAGGTCTCAACTTCTTACTTCAATGCAGTTATAATACAAAGAAGTTAGACAAAAGTGTATCGTTATTTTACTTAGAAATGCTAGATTACTTTCAGGAATTACGCCAGGTCAGCCAGTGACCTTATTCTTTGGAATAACCAAGACATAACCATGAAATTGAAGGCAAATCGCTTTATTGGAGGAGGTGGACCGAAAATGGAATTTATTATTTTCAAGATATTTTAAATGAAAATGGTAAATTTCTTACTTTTCAAGAATTTAATCGAAGGTACAATATGTCAGCTAATTTTTTAAACTTTTTTCAAATCCTTGCGTCTATTCCACCGAACCTCAAATCGAAGGCGGCTTCTACGCTAAGACCTAAGAATTCTGTTCTCGATAGTTCTGACAGTTTTGACTTTTCCACTGAAAAATCGGTTCTTCTTTCTAAAATGAAATGTAAAGACTACTACCTTCTGTTCCAAGAAAAATCAGAGGTTACACCTACAGCCATCAAGTCTTGGGTCAAACATTACTCTGGCATAGAAGATAAATGGCAAAAATTATTCAAAAATATACCTCACCTCTCGACCGACAACAAATTGAGACAATTCTCCTTTAAATTATTACACCGTATATTAGTGACCAAAAAGAAGCTCAAGAGGTTCAAAATTTCCGAAAGCGAAGATTGTTTTTACTGTAAATCCCCTGATTCCTTGGACCATGCATTTCTGGAGTGTTCTGCCGGTCTAAACGTCTTTCAAAAAGTTATTGCATGGTTCAAAATGAGCACAGAGTTAACTTTACACCATCTAAAATACAGCTACTATTTAAGGACTATGATCTCCTCCCAAATACAAGCCCAAACCTCACCCGTAAGTTTGGAATTTTAGTTTTGCAAACTCAAAAATATTATTATTCTTGCAAAATGTTGGAAAAAGCTATTAATTTTCTTGAATTGAAGTCAGCGTTATCTTTGCAATGGAAAGCTGAAAAATGTGAAAGTTAAATTAATTTATAATTCAATTTACAATATATAATCACTCTCTGTGGCAAAATCAGTCATTAGTGTTTTACTACTATTGTTATAATATGAATGTAAGAAGCAATAGTAACGGTATTATATTGAAAGTAGTGTAAGTTAGTATTAGTATCGTAACTTAAAAAAACAATGAGTGTATTGTTTTGTAGAGTAAGTTCTGTAATTGCATTGTGTTGTTAAGTAGTGTTAGTAATTGTATTATTGCTGTAAATAGTTATAATAGTTATCAATTTTGTAATTAGTAGTTGTACTAGTGTTGTAAGTAGTGTAAATCACAATTAAAGTATATTAAACAAACAAAAAAAAAAGTCTGGAAATTTGGTTGTGTAAAATTTCCGGTTTTGATGGAATTGAATTGAATTTTGAGGCGGTTTTTCGGTTTTGGGTCGTTTTTTTTTGTGCAGTCTTGCGGTTTCTGATAGGCCCCAACGCCCTCCTCCTAATGTAGTGAATTGTCTGCATCTGATGGTAATTAGACTAAAATAGACCCCCACAACAAAACATCAGCATCTTTTCGATAACCGATTCTCATTGATTCATTGACTACGTCGCGATTCTGAACTACCTTTGTTTTATTTTGCTCCTTTCTCGCCTTCTTACACTGCACTTGAAAACTACAATTGACTTAGGTTTTCTTTAAGAAAAAAAACCTAAAAAAAATATCGAGTCAAAGCTGTTTTCTACAATTAGAACAATTAACACGAGAAACACATTAATTATCTTAGTTTATATCGTTTGCCATTCTAAACGAACTTGTAAACTCAACACACCACTGTCATTACACCATAGTGGTTTCAATGCAGCATTTCTCTGTGCAGTGTATTCAATTTGAATAATAAAAATGTTAACTGGTGAATCATGGGGATTTACCTGCACTGGTTCACCAACAATGAACTCGAAATTTTCAATACCGCACAAGGCAAAGCCTCGTGCGTTATTGAAATTTCTCGTTCATTGTTGGTGAACTCGTGCAGGTAAATTCCGATAATTCACGAGCAATGAGTGCGTTAACCTGTTATTAATTCAGCATTACTGATCAAAGGATATAGGAATGCGCATAACCCAGTGTAAAAAAATACTTCGAAGACAAGGACGACTCGGACAAAAGAATCGTTATGATGTTGAGGTCAAAGAGAATCATATCGTAACTATTTTAGTGTATTTACTATAGTTACACTATAGTATTTGCATGTTAAGTTATTTCATGTTATTTTTTATTTCTTCTTCAAAGATATTAACTAAAGATATTGCGACGCGGCCAGTTTCAGATTTTGATCTGCATCATGCGCGGGGTGATCAAAGGGCAAGACATATCACCTGAGCAATTATGCTAAAAATATACACAGCATTGTGTTGCAGTTAATGATCAGTAGACTGTTCTTAATGAAAAATGATTGAAGATCAGCACAGTGGGAAACAACTATTGTTTCATGAGAAACAATCATTCTCCTCACTAATTAAAAGTTGTGTCTTTTGTTCCTTCCCTCTGCAAATCAAGAACAGTGTCTGCAGTTATTGTCTGGACAACGCCATTTATTCTTCTCTAAGTCACGTATACACGTTTTAAAGCTAATTTTAGGCTTCACATTATGCAAATTAGATGTTATAAAAACTCGGATTCATTGCTGCTTTGTCAGAAGTTGATCATCTTCTTCCCAACTACTCCGAAGATTCCAAACGATTCGAGGAAAGTTGCAGCGCAAAGTGAGGTATTAGTCTATTCAGTACATAACGTTCCCGAATTGTAACGCGTCTCTTTTTAAGCCTAGTGTTCTCTTTAAAGAGAAGAATATTGGTCAGTTACATAGGCGTGGAATTTAGAGGGGGCCGAAAAGGTTTTTTTACCTTTAGCTGGCAACCTAGCGTCTTTTATGTGTTGTTGGTATGGAGTGATGTTGCCCTCTGGCTGCAATTTCTCAGTCCACTCTCCTGAATTTTCCGAACCTGAAAAGGTAATATTAATCAGAGAACACATTGATTATCTCCGCAGTCTCCACAACAGCCAAGCCAATACAGAGATGAAGATTGCCGGAGTTTTGCTTATTATTAGCCTGGCTCTGTGTGCCATGGAATGCAGTGTGTCAGGTATTTAAATTCCTTGTTGCCTATAGGAATTTCTTCAGCTCATCTGATCAAGTTACCAAGGGTACAGATACAATGTTAAACATAGTACAAGTCTTTTTGCGACGAGTTAACTGAATGATTACAGTGCTGGACACCTGATCGAGAGGTCCGTGTTCGAGTGCTGGTCGAGGTTATTGTGTTGTGTTATTTGGTCGGACAATTTAATCTTTCAGTGCCTCCCTCAGTGCAGGAGTATAAATACGGAACAGCAGACTATCAGGGAAACCTGACGGAGTACTAAATGGGGGCGGGAGTACCCTGTAATGGACTCAAATTCAATCCAGGGGAAGGAAGCAATACCCTTAGTCGTTTCAAGAAAAAAGAGATGAGATGTGCCGATTTGAGCTATACCTTTGTCGCGTACTCACTTTGCCTCACCCGTCTAAATAAATATGTCTTACCATGTCTAACATTGTGAGCATCATTACGTAGATCAGTTGCTCTGTTACCAAGCAGCCTTTACATGGCCGAACAGTTACGCAGTAGAAACCGGCGAACCGTAGACGGCGGTAGCTTTGAAGATGCAAAGTTGCTAAATTCATAACTTTCTTGCAGCTTTTCGCCTCAAGGAAAAGGATTTTCCAAGAAAAATTCAAAACGATGGATCATTCTCTTACGGTAAGTCTAACAAAATTATACTTCCCCTTCGTCTTGAGGTTCTTTCTAGAAAGACACTTCGCTATCACAGTCCCTCCTACCACCCAAGATTATAAAATGGTTACCGTCGAACTTCTTTAGGAAAACTTAATTATATATAAGATATGGAGGGGGTAACCTGCAATAAATTTGCATCCCATCCAGGAGTGAATAGCAATACTTCCACCCTTTCACTATGCTGACACTGGTTTGGGTCACTTAACTCGAGCTCGTGCACAGACTTTGTAAAAAAATACACCAGACTAAGTAGCTATAACTACATAGTTTGCTCTGACTCTTACATTGCCAAACCGCATCTACATGGCCGAACAGTTAAAAGATACTGAGAAACAAGCGATGTTTGTTAAATTCTGCAAAAACTCAAAACGATGGATCGTCCACAAGTTCATGCAAGTCGACGAACGAAAATTCGAGAAAGATACTCAAGGGACCTCTACTAGAATCACATAGTAATTGTTATCTATGAATCACAAATGTTAAGTTCGTCAATGATTTATGGAAATGAGCAGGACAGGATGATTTTTGTGATCTTTTCTGAATCGAGTTGACGAAAATTCTCAATACAAGCATAATACGTCGCAGAAGAGATGTAATTATCCATTAGTGTATTGTGTTAAAAAAAAAACTAATGTGGTTGCTAAAACTCCTAATAAAACACTTTTAAAGATGAATGGTGCAATGTTACTTGGAAAGATCGCAATGACTAAGCAGACTTCGCTTGCTCAAGATCAGTTATCCTTAATAAAAATCCTCAGCAAGACTTCTTGGTAAAAATATACTTGCCAAAAATCTCTCAGAGACGCTAAATGCCAAATACTTTTGTACTAAGATACACCTACATCAATGTGGTTAGCTTAACGATCAGTTGTAAGTACCAACCGTGACAAAGTCAACTGTAGCAACACTTTAAAATCTTGAACGAGGGTCTCGGCTCATTAGTCTCCAAAGTAAATGTCTGATTTTTTTTTCTTTCTTTCAGATGTCCATAATGAGCCTGAGGAAGACCCTGGAAAACTGGAAAACATCGAACAAGCTGTTGGTAAGTTTGGCCGCGATTTTTCTCTTTGACATCATGTCATTATCGTTATTATTACCATTATCATCATCATTATCATCACATCAGCAGCAGCAGCAGCGTTGAAATCGTCATCCATCATCGTTATAGTTTTTGCTTTATTTATTTCTTTATTGAATATCACACGTGTGTTTTATACCTGCTTGCAGATTCGAAAGCTTGACTAAAGAAAAAATTGGACTTTTCAGATCATTTTTCTTATGTTTTTCAACATTACAGGCATTTTGAAATGCCGTGGACCTGCGAGTTTGTCCAAATTCAAACACACTTTTGCAACTAACTTGTCAGTTTTTGATGGGCATGTATAGTGCAATTTGAGCTAAAAAAATAACCTGAAAAGCACTTCACAATGGGGTAGCGCGCGCTATAATTAGACTTAACTCATAAGGTTCTTCATCCTCGATTATGGCTCCAGAGTAGTCTATAAAATTAGCTCGAACTCTTTTAACCATTTGCAACTCGAATAATTTTTAAATTTAAGACAGTTGTAAATACCAACCGTGACAATATCAACTGTAGCAACACTTTAAAATCTTGAACGAGGGTCTCGGCTCATTAGTCTCCAAAGTAAATGTCTGATTTTTTTTTTCTTTCTCTCAGGTGTCCTTAATGAGCTTGAGGAAGACCCCGGAAAACTGGAAAACATCGAACAAGCTGTTGGTAAGTTTGGCCGCGATTTTTCTCTTTGACATCATGTCATTATCGTTATTATTACCATTATCATCATCATTATCATCACATCAGCAGCAGCAGCAGCGTTGAAATCGTCATCCATCATCGTTATAGTTTTTGCTTTATTTATTTCTTTATTGAATATCACACGTGTGTTTTATACCTGCTTGCAGATTCGAAAGCTTGACTAAAGAAAAAATTGGACTTTTCAGATCATTTTTCTTATGTTTTTCAACATTACAGGCATTTTGAAATGCCGTGGACCTGCGAGTTTGTCCAAATTCAAACACAATTTTGCATCTAACTTGTCAGTTTTTGATGTGCATGTATAGTGCAATTTGAGCTAAAAAAAATAACCTGAAAAGCACTTCACAATGGGGTAGCGCGCGCTATAATTAGACTTAACTCATAAGGTTCTTCATCCTCGATTATGGCTCCAGAGTAGTCTATAAAATTAGCTCGAACTCTTTTAACCATTTGCAACTCGAATAATTTTTCAGTTTAAGACAGTTGTAAGTACCAACCGTGACAAAGTCACTTTAAAATCTTGAACGAGGGTCTCGGCTCATTAGTCTCCAAAGTAAATGTCTGATTTTTTTTTTTCTGTCAGATGTCCATAATAAGCCTGAGGAAGACCCCGGAATACTGGAAAACATCGAACAAGCTGTTGGTAAGTTTGGCCGCGATGTTTCTCTTTGACATCATGTCATTATCGTTATTATTACCATTATCATCATCATTTATCATCACATCAGCAGCAGCAGCAGCAGCAGCGTTGAAATCGTCATCCATCATCGTTATAGTTTTTGCTTTATTTATTTCTTTATTGAATATCACACGTGTGTTTTATACCTGTTTGCAGATTCGAAAGCTTGACTAAAGAAAAATTGGAGTTTTCAGATCATTTTTCTTATGTTTTTCAACATTACAGGCATTTTGAAATGCCGTGGACCTGCGAGTTTGTCCAAATTCAAACATAATTTTGCATCTAACTTGTCAGTTTTTGATGTGCATGTATAGTGCAATTTGAGCTAAAAAAATAACCTGAAAAGCACTTCACAATGGGGTAGCGCGCGCCATAATTAGACTTAACTCATAAGGTTCTTCATCCTCGATTATGGCTCCAGAGTAGTCTATAAAATTAGCTCGAACTCTTTTAACCATTTGCAACTCGAATAATTTTTCAACTTAAGACAGTAGTCTTTACATATAGAATAGTTTTCCCACTGTTGTTTGTCAATGTGGAGTTCGCATGTGATGTCACGCACGGCTTCCTGCTTTATGTCACGCTAGTGATGTCATGCTTTGCTTTGCGCATGATGTCACGTATCTTATCAAGGTTGTTAACGGCAGGGAACTTCATGCTAGAAATGAGTCCATTAGAACGAACGAGTTTGTCTTTCAATGATGTAAACAGTTTTAACTCGTTTTTAGATCCCTGCGGAGACGTTTGGACGAAGTTTGAAGAGTACTGTTATCATGTGAGCGGTACAAAATTGACTGAGAAACAGGCTGAACAGTACTGTGACCAAAAGATGGACGCAAATTTGGCAAAGATCAACAGCCAGGAAGAAAACAACTTTGTCTTGGACCTCGCGCATAGGCATGCTCCATCGGCGGAACGGGTCTGGATTGGATTGAAGTGGGAAAGTAGACCCAAAGATTTCTACTGGTATGATCACTCCTTCCCAACCTTCAAAAATTGGGCTCCTGGTGAACCAAATGGAAAAGCCAAAGAGCCATGCGTTTTGATGTATGTCGGAAAATACAACCAGCTGCCCCAATGGGCGGCCGGTTATTGGAATGATATAAACTGTGAGGAGAAAATTGCTGCAGTTTGCAAGAGGCTGTACTAGTGAGCTGTCACTAGGACTCCACCAACAAAAATAGCCGAAAGTAGTCTCGTTAACTGATAAAAAAAAAATTAATGTAATGGATGTGGAAGTAACTGTTCAACGAAACAATGAGTAGATGTTGTGTGGGCTTCAAATTAAAACTTTTAAAATGATATGTCAGTGTTGTTTTGTGGTTTTGGGATTACAGTGGAGGAGATTATGAGCCTTTTTTGACAATTCAATATGATGCAGTTATTCTTTAAGGCATCTTCTCGTTCTGCGCAATAGATTTCCGTTATGTGCGTATTGTGATGTTGCCATTTCTTACGCTTCAGAGCTCAACCTAGCTAACAACGAGCGGCCATGTTTATTAAACACCTTGCACAAAACCACGAGACAATTTCTACACTAAGGGGGCCTGGGTCGGGCACAAATGTACTCTGTAACTTTCGCTACACTGCCCCCTCCTTTAAGTTCACTGTCCTCGGTGTCACAATCTCAATGCAAAATCAAAAAATTAACAAAGACCGACGGTCAAATCTTAGCAAATCTGTCTACTTCATTTTATGAACAGTCAGCACTCGCGTTGAAACAAAATTTAACTCTGGAAATCTCTTTTCGCGTAACAACTGCGAAAGTTCATACACTGTCCAATTACACCCAATAACCGTAATGGTTGGGTGGTATCCGCTGTCTCCCATAACGACTCCGTACAGCCTGCGAAGGGTGTCCAAATGAAGCAGCGTCAAAGCTCTTCAGTGTCGCTCGATGGTCTGTCACCTGGTGTAGCTGTATACCAACCTGCAGGGCTTCTTGGGATTTTCTTGCAGTGTCTGTATAAAACGTCGCATGCAGACTCTGGTGAGGATGAAATAGTCCCGCACTGAACATGTTCCAAAAGGATTTGGGGCGTTTCGCCGAACTGTGCAACGAAACAAAAACAAAGACGCAATTTATCCGATAGCTCTCAAGCAAAGACTGCTCGAAGTATTCTTTTGTGTCAAGTGTCGAATATCGATTCTGGGGCGGATATAGAGTTTTAGAGAAGGGGGTTCAAGATACGGACCGCTGTGACGGAAGGTTTTTCCACTCTGAACGAATTTAAGGCTCAACGGGAACTCGGTGCTTGACTCACGATAAAACTTGGGAAAACTAGACTCAAATGGCAACTCGCTTGCGGGGAAGAGCCGTCACTTCTCTCGAGGTCCGGGATCAGACCACTAACTGGTACAGCAGTAGATAAAACAGACTAAACTTGGTTCCAGCAGCGTTTATTCTTCAGCGGATCAAACAGCAATAACTCGGCTAGGACTCGGCGAAATAATCGGCGATGTAATCGAAAAATCAGTAAAACTAACTTACTTATATATGATTTTTACAACCATTGAAGACAAAAGAATACAATAGAAATATAAACAGAAATCACTTAGAGTTAAATGAAAACTAAATACAAATTCTATTTTAAACCTGAAATCTTTTGTTACTGTTGCTATTTTAGAAAGTAAAAGTACTGAGACAAAGACCTAGGCAGGTCAGCAAAACAGCGTTTATGTACAAAGTGTTACAATATGAATAAAATTGCAAGTCCAGCTATCGGCTGTTTAAACAGGACAAGGGCAGACTAATTGGAAGTTTCAACTTAAACAAAAACCGATCTAATTTTAAAATTACAAGACAGCAAAACCTTTCATATTCAAAATTCGGTTATCACCTCTGCTTAACTAATAACTTAATGAAATATACTTTCGCAAACAAATATAACTAAGTTGCAATTAAAACGAGATGCACCTGCACGAAAGGCGTTTCTATGAATGAATGTCGTCCGATAGTAAAATCACGAAAAATAGACTAAAGTCAAATAAACTGTTATTAAGAAATTAAGTATTCTTTCAAGAGTCAACATTGACGTAAAATGTATATAATTGAAAAGAGAACGAGCAATTAGTTTTGTTTGTTAAGGAACACTGTTGGCTTTTCTATGATTATTACCTAGCGAACACAAAGCAAATGAAACAAAGGATAATAAAAATGGCACGAGCCTTTTTGCGGAGCTAAAACTTCTTTATGCGAATTCAGTATGAATTACTAAGAACAACGTCAAAGCGAATATTTGAAAGCTATATATGATATTCGAGCCAAATAAAGAATTCATGGAAAATCTCTCCTTACACCGCCAAAGACGGTGCCTTGTTTTTTTGATATTGTGGTCTCCGAAAATGTGGTTTTGCGGGCTATTAAATTAATCAAAAGGGTCTTCTCATCTATTCTCATAGTAACCGATAGATCAGATCTAACCTGATTGCCTCAGTCTTTCGACGCTCCCGGGACAGTAGGGATTGAACGGATCTTGGTATATCTTTAAATGTACAGGGGCCCGTTTCTCGGAAGTCCCGATAATTAACGGGCCCGGTAAGCTGTCTCCGTTTACATTAAGGATCGAGGTTTCAATAGTTTTGCATCTAGCATGATAAAACTATCAGTTAGTGAAACAGAATGGAGTAGTCTGCTAGCCAGGACCGGCGCTCTTATTCTTTATATTTCGATTTGAATATTTGTTTTCGGGCCCGAAAAGGTACCGGGACTTTCGAGAAACGGGCCCCTGGATTCGCGTGGTCTTCTTGCAGAATTTTTGAAGAACTTTTTTGACGTAGTTCTTGGCTTTCGTGTATTTCCTGAGATAATAAAAAAAGCATCACAGTGGCATTAATAATAATAATAATAATCGATAATAATGATTTATTGCAGAGTATCCAACAAAATTAGGTTCTTCATCTACACAGTGATCTACACTATGAATCTGAAATAAATAAATTAATTAATTAATTAATTAAAATAATAAAATATATACATATTTACAGTTGTGTTTGCTGTTTAAAATTCCTTATTAGACGTAGGAAGGGAAGGGAAACAAATAGTTTCTTTCTTTGGTGTTTGTTTTTAATTTGATTTTGCAGAGCTCTGACACCGTTTCAAAAGAGGATTTTAAGCCAATCAGAGGAAAGGTTAGAAAGCTAAGGTTTTCAAGCCAATCAGAGGAAAGATTAGGGAGATTTTTAAGCCAATCAGAGAAAAGCTTGGTTAAGAAGATTTTAAGCTAATCAGAGGAAAGATTAGGAAGGTTAAGCCGATCAGAAGAAAGGTTATCAAGGTTTTTTAGCCAATCAGAGTGAATTCGAAGATCCTGTTTTGTTTTTTTTCAGCCAATCAGAAAGCTAGTGGATCTCCTATTAATTTGATGTGGGAATTGCGCAGAAAAGGTTAGTGATAAATATAAAATAGTTGAAAGAGCAGCTTCAAGCCACATATTGCCTAAGTGAAGAGAAGAACAGAGAGGATGTCATCTTGATCTACCTCCAAATTCTCATAGCTAGCTTAAAAAAAAAAAATAGAAATTAAAGCAAAACTTGAGGAGAATTAACACTTTGAACCGGGGTTTGTAAATTTAACCTGAATATAAAGAAAGGCTTGCCTTGTCTTCGCTCAATTCTTTGTGGAAGTAAGCAGCACGGTTCCTCACTTTTTTCATTGCTTTTTTTAGGCAATCGGGCGGCAGGTTAATTCCCTTTAACATACCGTCTTTGCAGTAATACTCTTCCGAGCCAATAACAGCTGGCGCTCTGGAAGTAATTTTTGTCAGGTTTTTCGGGCCTGTGCTGTTCTTGCATCCATTTAAAACATTATTGATGCAGCTCTTCACGAAAATGTACGTATTACTGAAATGGCAATGCAAGAAAAATTTCAGAGATCTTGAACATTCGAGCCGACTTAATGGCCTTGGAATTATTATCGTATTGCCAACTGTCATCTTATATTATATTGTGACAACACCAACTCGTTCCCAGGTTCTTGCTTGTGTTCCGCGCTCTCCTTGTGTCCAAAAGAACCTGTTGCATTGTGGTTAAGGAGTAAATTAGTTGCTAATCATATTGTCAGAGGAACTCTTCGGCATTGCATAGGTTGCCCTAATTAATTAATCAAGACGAATGGTTTTAAGTCTGTGCGCAAAATCCCTCTACCCGACCAGTCTACCCGGCGTCAGTCACAACGGCCCAAGATCATTTGTCGGTATATTGTCACAAATAAAGTTACTCTTTGGTTCGCTAGTTATTCAGCTTGTGTAGTTTATACTAAAACAATTATTCACCTCGATGTCGGTGAAAGTGGTGGGTATTTACCTCCACTTCGGTGAATAATTGTTAAATATATTAAATCAAGCCATCTGTGCTTATAGCATAGGGAATGTATAAAAGCATAAGGAGGATTCTTCTTCGGTAATATTTTAAACTATAAAATCAACCTACTGACCTTCTCGATGCTTTCCCGGTCAAAAATCCTGAAGGCTGATCCCACCTTTATTTCAGTCCTTTCAATCATAATCAGCGTGCACTGGCAGCCTGAGCCCGCAATTTCCATGTTATATGCTATGCAGGTGTACGCATGCGTCTATGCATTGCAGCGCTGAAAACACCTCCTCTCTGGAATTTACACGGCCAATCACACACGGCCAATCAGGATCGCGTTAAATGTGACGTCGGAGGTCTGGGGCGGAGAGCATTGAACATCCAGGAGAGTAGTAAAATTAGATCGAATATCTGTGATAAGAAAATGACTCGTTAGCTCAGATATTTCGTTAGCTTTGACCTCCAACGAAGAACTGAAAGGAAAGTTAAAATCACCAGTTAGCAAGACTCTTGAGTGAGTGACGCTGACAAAATACCCGGGGCGGTGGGTGTACTCCCAGAAAAATTTGGTGGGGGTGTGCAGCTCGCTTCTCAAAACCTTTACCCTATTTATGACCAAAACGGCTGAAAAACCATACCCTTTGGGGCCTCACATACCTACATAGTCTATACAAGGGAGTAGCCCCAGGGCCAAATATCGAAAGTTCTGAGTTTTCCTCCGGCTGGCCAAAGCGTTCTTGACTGGGGCGGATGCAGGACTTTGGGGAACTAGGTTCGAGAAACGGACCGGCGAAGTATTGCCCCTGTAGTGGATCCCGGGGTATCCTCCCCGAGTCCCCG